CACTTGAGCCACAGCACCATTTCCGGCTTTTTTCTTTTTGCTTATGTGGTGCTGAGGAATTGAACCCAGGGCCTCATGCATGCAAGGCAAGTGCTCTACCACTGAACCACCTTCCCAACCCCTCTGAGTTACTTTTGCTCAAGGCTGCCACTCTACCACTTGAGCTACAGTGCCACTTCCAGCTTTTTCTGTTTATGTGGTACTGAGGAATGGAATTCAGGACTTCATGAATGGTAGGCAAGCACTGTACCACTAAGCTACATTCCAAGTCCCTCTACAAATTTTTTCTCTTTGGTTAGTTGTGGGGCTTTAACTCTGGGCCTGAGCGCTGTCTCTGAGCTCTTCAGCTCAAGGCTAGTACTCTACCACTTGAGCCACAGGGCCACTTCTGGTTTTCTAGTGGTTAATTAGAGATAAGAGTCTCAGAGAAGATCACAGTTCAAAGCCAGCCCAGGCAGGAAAGTCCGTGAGACTCTTATCCCCAATAAACCACTCAGAAAACCAGAAGTGGCGCTGTGGCTCAAGTGGTAGAGCACTAACCTTGAGCTGAAGAGCTGAGAGACAGTGCCCAGGCCCAGGGTTCAAGCCCCACGACTGACAAAAAAATAAATATTTGAGGATACACACACATATATACATATATATATATATAATTCCTTTATTTCATAAAATTATTATTTTTAATATATTCTATTTCCCCTTGATTTTATTGAAAACTATTTTGCTTAACCATACTACTTATTTTTTTCACTTGGTGTATATTATACAGAATTACAGAGCTACCTCAAAATTATTATTTTTTGTTGGTCATGGGGGCTGAACTATGGGCCTGGGCACTGTCCCTCAGCTCTTCAGCTCAAGTTTAGCACTCTACCACTTTGGGCCATGGTGCCACTTCTGGCTTTTTCTGCTTGTGTGGTACAGAGGAATCAAACCCAGGGCTTCATGCATGCACACTGAGCCAACTTCCCAGCCCCCTCAAAATTATTTTATGGAAAGTCTAATTTCTCCCTTTTTCTCTTCCCTGGTTCTGTTTTGTAATTTGTGTGTGTGTGTGCCAGTTTTGGGCCAGAACTCAGGGACTAGGCAATATCCCTGAGCCTCTCTGTGCTCAAAGCTAGAGGCTCTACCAATTGAGCCACAGCACCACTTCCCACTTTTGAGTGGTTAATTAGAGGTAAGAGTCTCCCAGGGACTTTACTATTCAGGATGGCTTCAAACCATGATCCTCAGATCTCAGCCTCCTGAGTAGCTAGGATTACAGGCGTGAGCCACCAGTGCCCAGCCTACATGACAATAATCTTAACCATCATAACCACTAACAAACTTGGAATAAACCATTTAAGACTATATCTTACTGTTTCTTTTTATTATTAGTAAGTACTGGTAAAGGGGATTTCAGTTCCAGGAGTCTGATTATGAGTACAATACCTTTACATTAATGTCACCCCTTCCATCATTCTTCCCCATCTTATCCTTACCCTCATGTACTGTAGTACAATTCTTAATATTTTTAGAACACAATGTGATCATGCTGTACTCTAACCAGCCTTTAACATTGTCTGTAAACATATAGTCTGTAAAATATACTAATTTATTGGCTACATAAGTATACAATTATCTTTACCAAACTACTATTTTAGTTCCTCCTTGGTGTCACCCAGCATATTCTCCCAGATTTATGATGTGCATATATGCAATTCATATGGTTATCTGGGCATGATTAGAGTACTTTGGACTGAGTGGTGTCCATTCCATAATTGTGCTTAACATAAGCCCTAAATGCTGAGTTAATATTACCTAACTTCATTGTTCTCAAACTTCCTTGGTTGTGTGTGTATTTGTGGTACTGGGGTTTGAATTCAGGGCCTTAGTGCTGGCTATCCTTTACTTTTAAACTTAAGGTTGGCACTTAACCACTTGAACCACACCTTCACACTCCTTTTTCCTGGTTAATTGGTGTTATGAGTCTCATGTACTTTCCTGTCTGGGCTGGCTTCAACCATGTTCTTCAGATGCCAGCTTCCTCTGTAGCTAGGATTATAGGGGTAAGTCACTGGCACTTGGGTTTTTGTTATTGTTTTGTTTTAATAGTAAAACTCAACCATTACTCATACTTTACTCAACTGTCTCATAATGGAGATATTCATGTAAATGACTATGGAAAGTCTGATACTTACTCCTTTATGAGTAAGAATAATTCACCTGCTAGGTGTAGGAATTTAGTTATGCCAGCAAATCCAAGTGGGGTTTCCTATTCTTCATTTTCTTTTTAAAAGACAATAGTCGTTTCACTTCAGAGATCATGACTAAATGGATGTAGGGTGAAAGAAGGGAAACAAGCTGGAATATTAGGAAGAGGACAGTGGGGAGGCATCATTGGAAGAAATAGATGGAGCAACTCCCCAGATACAGTGAAGTGCTGGGCTCTTTGTAGATATACTGCAAATGCCAATGTTATATGTATTTGAGGGCCATGGAAGAATCCTTGTAGAGTAGGGCATGACAGGAAGGTAGACAGAAAGCTGACAGTGAACATAAGTTGTTTGATTCAAAGTTATGGATTTGTTCTTTAAACGTCACAAAGGGTCTAGGAATGTGGCTTGCCTTGCATGCATGAAGCCGTGGGTTCGATTCCTCAGTACCGCATACACAGAAAAAGCCAGAAAGGGCACTGTGCTAGTAGAGCACTAGCCTTGAGCAAAAGCAGTTCAGGGACAGTGCCCAGGCCCAGAGTTCAAGCCCAGAACTAGCCAAAAAAGAAGTCAAAAAGGATGGGACTGGGAGTGTGGTTCAGTGGTAGAGTGCTTGCCTAGCATGCATGAAGCCTCAGGTTTGATTCTTCAATACCACAGAAACAGAAAAAGCTGAAAGTGGGGCTGTAGCTCAAGAGGTAGAGCACAAGCCTTGAGCAAAAGAAACTCAGAGACAGTGCCTGAGTTCAAGCCCGAGGACTGGCAAATAAAAAGTCACAAAGGCAGCCAGGCACTGGTGGCTCATACCTGTAATCCTAGCTACTCAGGAGGTTGAGATCTGAGATTCAAAGCCAGCCTGGGAAGGAAAGTCCATGAGACTCTTGTCTCTAATTAACTTCCAAAAATAAATCAGTGGAGAGTGGAGCTGTAGCTCAGGTGATAGAATACTAGCCTTGAGCAAAATAGCTCAGGATCAACACCCAAACCCTGAGTTTTAACCCCAAGCCCAGCATGCACACACGCACACACAGACACACACACACACAGACACACACACACACAGACACACACACACACAGACACACACACACACAGACACACACACACACAGACACACACACACA